TAGACTTGTGTCTGCTTGTGGCTTTCCCCTCCTTCAAGTGGTCCTGTGCCTCTGCCTCTGGGGCCTTGGCATAAAGGGAGAGAGAAAGGGAGAGAGAGGTGAGACCTGCCCTGAGACACCCCCCACCTGGAAAGCAGAATGGGGTTTGTTAGCCAACAGGAGAGAGAATAAATAATCACCACTGCCCATGGACTTGGTCTTCCTTATTGGCCTTTGTCTTGCCTCGGACATCCCTCCTTACCCAGGACCCTCTCCCCACCAAGGACCCTCTCATCAAGGCAAGTTGATGGGTTTAAGTGATTTTTTTCCTGTTGTCTAACAGAACTGCTCTATGTCTCCAGCAGAGCCATCTCTTTTCCCTCATCCCTGGTGGAAAGGATGCCTGCAGACATGGGGCCCCATCACATCTTCACTGCCCCTCCACAGTGACCCTTTTCAATCCAACCTGCCCCCTGCCCTGGCACCTTCACTGAAGGCACAAAAGGAATACCCACCACATCATCTTCTGCAGCAGCACCCTCAGGTTCAACAAGGATGAAGTATCTGAGGTCTTGTGCTGCTGTGGAGACTCTGTCCTCCTCTGGGTAGGGGACCACGGAGAAAAGAGAGCCAGGGGGAATGGGAGGTCCCAGTCCCAGAGAGTGCAGGATCTAAAACCAAAGAGAAAAGTCTGTTTATACTCCTATCACCTTCATCCTCACACTCCTTCCCTAAAGGCCCTGAGCTTTTGGCAGTGGAGTTTCTGATTTATATGGAGTACAAGTGCTTTTTTATGCCCAGTGGGTTAGCAGGCTCCAGAGCAGAGGCAGGACCTACAGTGGGACCAAGAGAGAAACCTCTCCCAAGTGACTCAGCTGAAGAGAACAATGCCTGGGAGCTGCCCTGCCCTGGGACCGTTTTTAATGATTTCCAGACTGAGAAACTCTCTGAACAGATGGGATGCTTGGACACAGAGCACTCCCACTTTCCACACATCTGAGGGAGACTGAGAACCTCCCCATCCACAGAGATACTGCGGAGCTATTGTGGAACATCATCAGTGGCCTCGACAAGGCTCTGTGTTGTTATCACCTGGGGGACACACTGTTCCAGGGCCCCAGACCATGGCAAGTTCAGCATCTGAGCCTTGCAGGCTTTTACCTGCTTTGGTGGTGGCAGCTTCTTGCTCTTCAGGATCCTCCTAAACATCTTTTCACGACGCGTGATGTGGAAGTCCAAGCAGGGCACTCCGGCATCCTGGCTTCTGACTGAGCCTTCTGCAACTTCCCCGTCCCACTGAAGACTCTTGTGGCTGCCATGTTTTTCTAGAGGCTTCTCTGTTTTCTCCGGAGACCTACTGCTCTTCTTCTCGTCTTTGTGTTTAGGAGAAGACTGGGACTTGTCTGGCACTTGGTTCATGATACCCTGAGCCCTGTCCCAGGATGACAGAATATGTCTGATCCTCTTCTGTGAAGACTCATAGATGTTAAACCTCAGGTCCAAGATCCTCTCATGTTTACTCGGGACCTCTGGGATTTTGGTTTCTTGCTGCTGTTGTTTTGCTGCTGTTGTTTTGCTCTTCATCCGGACCTCTGGGCTTTTGGTTTCCTGCTGCTGTTCTTTTGCGGGTAGCTTAAACTTCACCGGGCAGCCATTCTTCTTCTTCTTCTGCAGCTTATCTTGCTTCTTTGAGTCTCGTGACATCTTTTTGCTTTCCTCACACTCTCGAGCCAGCCGCTCCAGCTCCCTTCTGCAAGCCAAAGAGAAAACACCCCCAAGAGTCACCACCAGAAACCTGCGCTCACTGTAATCCCAGCTGGCTCTGCCCTTCACTCTTTGACCCTGAGGCCAGGCAGAACTGTTAGACCATCACTGTGGACCTTCCTCAACCCAGAAAGCTTGGGAACATCCCAAGTGAGGAAGGGTGGGAGGCGACCTCCTGGGCTAAACCTAAGCCTTGCCATCATAAGGTATCAACTGTGCAACTTCTCCCCTGAGGTCCACCCAGACACCTCCAGCATGCTGCCAAAGGCTGATCCACCACTCTCTGCAGTGATGACTGAAGCCCTCCCTCTCTTGGTTTCCCAGTTTAGACCTGCCCATAAATTGCTAACACCTACTTATCCCTCCTCCAATGCTTACTTGGCTCCTTCAGCCCCCTTCTTCCTGGGCAGAGCCTGCTCATTAATGAGAATAATCATAGCAATCAGAAAGCAAAGGCTGCAGAAAGTCCCCTCCTGCAAATCAGGCTCTGATTCACCAGGTTTCCTGCTGGAACACAGCTGTGACCAGGGCACACCTGTGCTGTCTGTCCTGGGAACTGATTTGAAGCAGCCCTGGCCATCTCCTCCCAGTACAACAAACATCAGCCTGGGCTGAGAGAAGTGCTGAAACACAGGCTCGCTTTAAGCAGCTTCCCCTCCCAGCTCCACACTCTTCCTGTGCGTCCTCCTGAGCTGGGCTGCCTTGGTGGGCCAGAGCTTCTCCTGGGTTCACCTGCTGCTGCAGCTGAAGGGCAGCCTAAGCTTTTATGGATGGTGCTCCACCCTAAGGAAAGCCCTGGCAGATCAGCATTGCAAGGACTTCATCTATAGCAGGACCAGGGTGAAAGCAAGCCAGCATAGCTGTGTCCCACACCAGCCCACACCACAATCCTCCTGGTTTGGTGAAGAAGGAGGATGATGAAGAAGATGAGAATCAACATCACACACTTTGAGACACTTCTGTGGGCAGTGGCAAGGCAAGCCCAGAGCTCAGCTCCCCGCAAGCCATGTCTAAGCCAGAGGGCTCACAGCTAAAATGGAGAGAAGACGTTCTCATCTCAACAGAGGAAGGTCCTTCCTCTCTTGGGAACCGGGGACCTGGACCTGGCCATCCTTGTGCTGCTTCTGGCCTTTGCTCTTGAACCCCTCTGAGCT